AGTACTTCTTTTACTTTGTACAAAAAAAAAAAAAAAAAAAAAAAAAATAAAAAACGCGTGAAATAAAACAATCTACACTCTTTCTATAGAAAAAATATGATAAACGAGAAAATTATTTTCGGATAATAAAATTAGATAGGAGGGAAAAGAAAGAATTATTCCCCTTTCGTCTTGCTACATACTCTTGTAAATATTGAGCAAATAGCTCTCTCTCTAAATTTGCAAGATAATCGTCAAATTTTCAGCGGTTTTGGTGACTAATTTCCATTGCCAAATTTGGCGAGAAATTGCCAAAAGTCGCTAAACGTGGCTACCATTTGGCGACATTTGGGCCAGTCGGTCCCCGTATCACTATAATGGGTATCGTAAATGAATAACTGTAATTGATACTCTACGCAACTGTAACAGTATCCGGCCCTCATATGCCTTCCAGTAATTTCGAGAAGTACTAGAAATTTCTCCGCAGCCGGGGGAAAACTATATAAGACAGAAGAAAGCATCACTTTCTCGGCTGTTAGTTGTTAGTTCAACAGTCGAAGTAGTGAGATATCTCCGTCTTAGCTTCGTCTTTTATATGGCGTCGTGTCTAACATTCTTAGTAGTTTGGAATGCAATTATTGATTGTGCTCTGTGATACTACGAACAGCTATAAGAGTATTTTCGTAGAAAGTTTCAGAACTGTGAAGTGTTTCTTTTGCCAAAATAAATTTTATCAAGTTATCATCAATTCTGTGTGCTTTCAATCTATTACGAAACTGTACGCACGCAACAATATGCAATCTTTCATTTATTTCTATTTCATTGACAAGCTTTTGCTTCACAGTTTTTGTTTAAAACTGATTGAGATATCTTCAGTAGCTTCCAACCTCTTTCAGAATAACGCCCCAGGAAATCTCATTATTAAGGGCATAAATGCTTGCAAAGCTGTGGAAATTTGATTATTTTCTGATATGATTGTCTATTTAGTTTCTTTTTCCAGGGCATCACTCCTACTTTCGTCTCGAACCCTTACAATTATTTCATTGTCTGCGATATACCAACAGCCTGATTAAGATGATTTTATTAATCGTAGGGGACAGCGGATGGAAGGTTTCGAAGCATTTCCTCTCCCCACAACCGCACCTCCTTTCCAGGCGTCTTTCGGAAGTTTCGACTACATCAAGTGATTTTTAATTAGTTTGGATTAAGAAAGCTCTTTATATTAAAAGGTTTGCATATCTGAAACTAGTTCTCCCGATTGCGAGCAGTGATTACTCTGAAGATAGTCAAAGGTAATCTGTTTTATAATCCCACGTTGTTAAACTGTTAAAGAAGTAAATGTATGAAAACAGAAGATAAAACAATAAATATAAAAAGATAAATAAAATCAATTCCTACTTAGGTCAACAAAGAAAATTTTTATCTTAGTTACTTTTTATTAACATTGTTCGTATTAAGAAAGCTCTTTATATTAAAAGGTTTGCATATCTGAAACTAGTTCTCCCGATTGCGAGCAATGATTACTCTGAAGATAGTCAAAGGTAATCTGTTTTATAATCCCACGTTGTTAAACTGTTAAAGAAGTAAATGCATGAAGACAGAAGATAAAACAAGAAAGATAAAAAGATAAATAAATTCCTACTTAGGTCAATAAAGAAAAATTTTATTTTAGTTACTTTTTATTAACATTATTAATATTCTTTCGCTTCTAATTTATTTCTCATCCTATCCATCTCTTGTAATGCTTCATTATAGCAAAGAACCTTCCCAGTGAGTTTCGAGCAGTCCAGTTCTTCAATTACGATTCCATCTAATGATTTCACGACTCGAGGCGACACATATGCTTGACCCGCTGCGAAGGTTTCGCAGGAAGCTTTCCTTGGCGCTCATGTTTTTCTTTCTCTAATCATCGCTTGCGCTGTGTAGTAGTTTCTTTTCGCGATTCGTTTCGCATTCCGTTTGTGAAGCAAGAGACATTTTAAAGGGTTATATTTTAAACATATATTATTATCACGTTAACACAGAAATATGGGGAGAATTTTCGCTACATAATGAGACATTACATCCGCTTCATCCAACTCTATAAAAATACAATTCTTTCATTCCATACACTTTAAAAATCTTTAGAACTGTGTCTTAATGTTGCCACTTATTTTTGTTAAATATTCCAATCAATTTTATCACAGGCATTACTATTATTACTATTATTTGTAAGTTGTTATAAAAATAATTTTTACAGTACATGAGCATTCCTAATAAACAGTCATTATTTGTAAGTCTTACAATATTTTAAAAAAATCTGATGTGTACACCACATGACTTCCTTGTACGGAATATTAAACTATACACATTTTTTCTTGAATTTCATTTAAATTGATTGGATTGAATTAAATCTACTTCCTCGACAGCGCATAAACCACAATAGAATAAATGCACTCTTTAAAATGCACTATATTTGTTTACTATAACGACATTCTGAATGCACAAAATTTATATCATTTGAAGAATTATCGTTGCCACATGTTCTATTCAAATACTATAATAAAGCTAAAACGATGTATGAAAGAAATTAAGCAAACAAAACAGAAAAGGAACAGTTTTTCACAGACGATTCAGTATTTCTCATTCAATTAATTCAGTTCTCACTTCGCGAGAAGGCAAAAATACATAAAAACTCAAAATATCTGTATTAAAAATTACGAAGTAAATCTTAAACATTTATTTCCTCGAAAAAATTCCAGAAAGGATTAAGCATGATTTAAATAATAAATGAAGGCGTTATCTTTGTTGTTGCGAAGCTAAGTTTCTCTCAATTGGCAACATATCTACAATTCTGCTCTTTCAAATGTAAACAAATATGTCCGACATGTTATTTAAAACTTAACCACACTTAAACAGCATTTAAATTGTTGATAATTGTACAAATATTGCTTCCAGAATTACAAAAGGCATAAAAACCTTAACCGGAAGATAAAAACAACACAATTCAATCATTTTTAAAGCAAAAAATGTACAATTTACAAACATATAAGAGTAAAGAAACTGAGATCACTGCGCCGGGTAACAGAGGGGATATATATATAAATATATTTATATACTTTTGGTGCGGCCGATCGCAACCAAAATACGAGGTGCACATCTACATGTTATAGCAGTCCTATATACAAAATTTCAACGTTCTGAGGCTACTCGTTTTTGAGTTATGCGAGATACGTACATACGTACGCACGTACGTACATACGTTCGTACAGACGCCACGAAAAATTCTCTTCAGAATTCATTTTAAAGCAGTTTTATAATTTTTTTGGAGGGAAGGTATCTTGTATTCTGTCCTTACGCACAGATATCAAGCAAAAACATCGTTAAATTGGATTCGATAGCGGTCAAAATGGATATTTTCGTTGAAATATGTTGCCTGAAACTTTTCGCGATTACAATACTTCCTTTTTACTTCGTACAAGGAAGTAAAAACACTTATCTTTAGTTCCGATAAACAGGAATAAATGAGTAGGAATTGGTTTTAATATATGAGAAACTGTATTAACATCAAGTGTCGTCCACTGCAAGTTAATGTATTTGAACTTGAGTGGATGAATAAAATGTACTTTATTAACGATTGAAAATTTTAACAAGATATAGGGAGAGTGTGAGCTAATAGTAGGAACTTAATAAAAACATGCTATCCAAGACAACAGATGTATTATATACGAAGAAATGCTTTTAAGTCTGTAGAGACATTAGGCATTTTTGGAAGCAGGTAAGATAAAAAATTAGCAACCGCCTTCGCCGGAAATAGAACCACGAACCTTTGCAATACAGGCCCACCGTGCAGAACCACTACACCACGAAGGCATGCTAGGAAGGAGGGAGAAATACCTTATATACTCTCCCTTTTAAAAGGCAGCTGGGGTTTTAGGGGACCCAATCTCTAAATCCTTGGTGGGAAGAAATCTTCATCCACCACCCTTTTAATTCGGGCGCCACTGTAGAAACATTAGGTATTTTTGACCGTGGGCCTCGAGGTGCGTGAGCAAATACCCTGGACATATGGTCAGCTTGTCACAGAATCCCCTGTGTTTAGTCCTGAAGCGAACTTGGTATTAATTTTATTGATACACTCAAGGGATTGCAAGGTTGAGCCAACCTTGCCTAGCTCGGGGATCGAACCCCAAACCTGTGGTGTTGCTGTGCGACACGCTAGCCATTGCGGTACGGTGTCTTTTGCAATCAGATATTAAACTAATTATTATTTATAAGCTCAGAATTTAGTGTACACTAATGTACTTTTCGAACAGTTTATTTATAAAGCTACAAGGCGGAATTTAACTGTAATGTGCTAAATGTATTTTCAAAGTAGGCGAAACATGTTTGTGATACTTTTGAATAGTTATCATGATGCACAGAGGGAGCCACATTAGCTCGAGAAAGTGGGAGTTTTTTGGTTTAAAACTTTTTTTTTTTTTTGGTATAACTGAATTGAGGTGTTTTGTTGCCGCTTATATAAGATTTTTAAAATGTACGAGAACTTTCTCGATTTTTCCCGAAAAGCAAAAGCGTGCAATTATGAGATCTATTTATTAAATGCACGTGAACCTGTGTTTTTAATTTTTCCAACTGAGCTTTCTTTTCAGATTTCCCATGCGCAGCATTGCACGGAAAATGAAACAACTTAATAACAATTCTACTAACATTAGCTATTTAAATACTAAATCCGTTACGATATTATTATTTACAATTATGGAATAGCGGGCCGTGGGCGGCACTTGCAAAATGGCAGGTTATGAACGGCACGTGGGCTGAAACAAAATTATTCTGCCCACGAATATATGTCTCGTCCTGCTGCTGCAGCTCTTCTCCTCCTGCCGCTGCTACTGCCCCTCTTCCTCCTTCCTGTTGCCGCTGCTACTGCTCCTCTTCTGCATGCTCCTCCTCTTGCTGCTCCTCCTCCTGCTGCTTCTCTTGCTTCTCATCCTCCTACTCCTCTTCCTCCTCCTATTTCTCCTCTTTCTCATGCTCCTCCATCAAGGAGCAGCAGGAAGAGGAGGAGCAGCTAGAGGAGCATAAGCAAGAGGAGCAGCAGGAGGAGGCGCAGCAGGAAGTGCAGGAGGAGGCGCAACAAGAGGAGGAGCAGCAGAAGGAGTAAGAGAAGGGGCATCAGGAAGAGGAGCAGCAAGAGGAGAAGCAGCAGCAAGAGGAGGACCTGCAGGAGGAGCAGTAGGAGGAGGAACAGCAGCAAGAGGAAGGGGAAGAGGAGCAGCAGGAGGAGCAGAAATCTCGTGAAAATGGAAATTTCCAGAACCTTCTCATGTACGATTAAAAAGTTTTAAAACGCAGGAGAGAAATATCTCAGTTCAGTTGTTTACATAACTGGTTTTGTTGAGTGTAACGAATTTGCGTTGAGATGGGATTAACTTTCTCCGCGCTTTGGATTGCGTTTTATTTGATGTTTTAGTAGTTTAAAATGTAACTGCTGCGTGATATTGTATGATAATTTGATATTATATGCATACCTAAGTAGAAAAATCCAGCATTGTGTTTTATTTCTTGTGATAAGAATAAATTTTTTAAACTATTTACCGGACTTATGCAATCAATCTATTACGAACGAGTACGCGCGCAACAATATATATCGATAAAATACTACTGTAATAAGAATTCAAACTGTTAGTAATAAAATAATAATAATAAATAAGGAATATGTATCATAATAGCAATAATAGGAATATGTATCATTATCGCTATTATGGTACAGGAGAAGGATTTATGACTATCTGTGTAAAATAAGTAGGCTTGAGATAATCACAACACCTTCATATACTTTCACTGGAATTTAAGGAAGTTTCCTCTGTATATACATTAAGCAGTTGAGTGTGTGTGTGATTATGGCAAAGCCTCGAGGGCTATCTGCCTAAGGGGAGGGATGCCTTCGTGGAGGACTTTCTAAGGGCAACTGGCTCGTATACACGTTACACATGGAGAAAACCACGAAAACGCCCATGCAGCCAGCCCATTCGTGGGATTTGAACCTTGAACCGAACTACCAGTGTTCATCGACTTTACCGCTCGGCCGCTGGTGGGCCATTTTTTAAGCAGTTTAGAGTATGCATTAAAGAGGTTAAAGGGATATCTTAAAAACAGCATGTCTTTAGTTCCGTTAAACAGGAATAAATAAATAAAATAGGAATGGACTTTCATATGTGAAAAACCTGTATTAACATCAAATGTCACCTACTACGAGTTCAAAAAATGTATTTGAACTTGAGTGGATGAATAAAAAGTATTTTATTAACGACTGAAAATTTTAACAAGATACAGGGAGAGTGTGAACTAATATTAGGAATTTAAAAAGTAATATTTTATTAATAAGCCTTTTAATCTCTATTTTCAAATCGTATCAATAAATTTTATTTTCCATTAGAAAAAAAATTAAAGTTATTTTCTATTAGAAAATATTATAACTCCAATAAAAATATTTTAAAAAGCATGAATACTTTTTGAACATCTAGTGCTTTAGATTCATCGCGTATAAAATCGTTTATTTTACGTATAATTAAATTAAATCGGTAATTTAACGTAACGTTTAAATTAAAATTTAATTTTATAATTAAATTATAATCAAAAATGAATCTTCTAATAAGAATTTCTAATAAAGTTGACGTTTCGCATTAAGACATTTAGAGTTACGATGTTTTCTCCTCTCTTTCTTTTATTCACACGATATTTTGTACGATGACGTTTTCGAGCTATTTCCTCCGCGTCTGCGATGTATTTGCCGCGATGTTTTCAGAGGATACTGACACAAATGTAACCCCGAAGCTATCCGCTATGGGTTTCGAACCCAGGTAGAAATACCGGCGTTATCAGTTTATAACCTTGTGTGTTTGGTTTTCCTAAACGGAGCTCGACATTAGAGGACTGTTTAGTGAATAATCACTAAGTATTAAAGTACTGCAAAGTCAGGAGAAGGGTGCAAAGAACCCTTTATTAACTCAAATAAAGTTCACAGTTCTCAAATAAATATACCGGCGTTATCAGTTTATAACCTTGTGTGTTTGGTTTTCCTAAACTGAGCTCGACATTAGGGGACTGTTTAGTGAATAATCACTAAGTATTAAAGTACTGCAAAGTCAGGAGAAGGGTGCAAAGAACCCTTTATTAACTCAAATAAAGTTCACAGTTCTCAAATAAATATACCAGCGTTATCAGTTTATAACCTTGTGTGTATGGTTTTCCTAAACTGAGCTCGACATTAGGGGACTGTTTAGTGAATAATCACTAAGTATTAAAGTACTGCAAAGTCAGGAGAAGGGTGCAAAGAACCCTTTATTAACTCAAATAAAGTTCACAGTTCTCAAATAAATATACCGGCGTTATCAGTTTATAACCTTGTGTGTTTGGTTTTCCTAAACTGAGCTCGACATTAGGGGACTGTTTAGTGAATAATCACTAAGTATTAAAGTACTGCAAAGTCAGGAGAAGGGTACAAAGAACCCTTTATTAACTCAAATAAAGTTCACAGTTCTCAAATAAATATACCGGCGTTATCAGTTTATAACCTTGTGTGTTTGGTTTTCCTAAACTGAGCTCGACATTAGAGGACTGTTTAGTGAATAATCACTAAGTATTAAAGTACTGCAAAGTCAGGAGAAGGGTGCAAAGAACCCTTTATTAACTCAAATAAAGTTCACAGATAGTACCAACTCGTGCTTGCAAAATCCAGCAAGCACGAGGCTTAACTCAAAAGGTAATGAATAACTTAAAATTAAAGGAAGTTAAGTTTTAACCTAAGATCTTCACAGGAAAACTATCGCGCAAACTGGATTTGACTCGAAAAGCCAGCGTAAACAATCCTAATGGTACGTGCAGCTCAACGCCACAGAAATCTAATCACTACAGAATCAAAGATATCAACATGGGTCTTCAAGCAGGTGGAACGTGCTCTGATTTCACGTTTCAAAACCTTTCCTTAAATACTAACTTTTTTCTACCTCATTTGAATACACGTACGATAGACAATTTGCATTCTGGCATGCAAGTGTGGGTTCAAAGCAAGTGGGATAATAAAGTTACTTCAATTTAAAAAAAAAAAAAAAAAAAAAAAAAAAAAAAAAAAAAAAAAAAAAAAAACTGTTCAGGAAATTAAATAAATCCCCAAAAATTTAATGTAGCTAGCTCGTGAAGACCGATTGAAGGTACGTAAAATTCCAGATAAATAAATAGAATAATGAACAATGAACTATTGTTTCTTCTATCCAATGTTCCTTCAGATCCAAAAATGAGCGGAAGTGTAGCATCTCCTTTTCTTTAGGTGAGAAACTGTGATTTGAATGTTTTTACTTCCTTGTACAAAGTAAAAAGGAAGTATTGTAATCGCGAAAAGTTTCAGGCAGCACATTTCAAAGAAAATATCCAATTTCACCGCTATCGAATGCAATTTAATGATGTTTTTGCATGATATCTGTACGTATGAACAGAAAAAAGACGATTTTCCTTAAAAAAAAAAAAAAAAAAAAAAAAAAAAAAAAAAAAAATATATATATATATATATATATATATATATATATATAAAACTGCTTTAAAATGAATTCTGAAGAGAATATTTCGTGGCGTCTGTAAGAACGTATGTACGTACGTACGTATCTTGCAGAACTCAAAAACGAGTAACCACAGAACGTTGAAATTTTGTATATAGGATTTGAAATTTTGTATATATTTTGTATATAGGACATGTAGATGTGCATCTCGTATTTTGGTTGCAATCGGCCGTGCCAAGTGTATATAAATATATTTATATATATATCCACTCTGTTACCGGCTCAGTGATTTCAGTTTCTTTACTCTTATATGTTTGTAAATTGTGCATTGTTTGCTTTAAAAATGATTGAATTATGTTGTTCTTATCTTCCGGTTAAGCGTTTTATGCCTTTAGTAAATCTGTATGCAATATGTTTAGAATTATCTACAATTTTAAAGTTGTTTAAGTACCGCTAAGTCTAATAATTTTTTTGATGGCGGCCATTGCTCTTGTTTACATTTGAAACAGCAGGATAGCGGATTTGTTGCCAATCTAGAGAAACTTAGCTTCGCAACAACAAAGATAACGCCTTCATTTATTATTTAAATCATGCTTAATCCTTTCTGGAATTTTTTCGAGGAAATAAGCGTTTAAAATTGACCTCGTAATTTTTAATACAGATATTTTGAGTTTTTATGTATTTTTGCCTTGTCGCGAAGTGAAAACTGAATTAATTGAATGCGAAATACTCAATCGTCCGTGAAAAACATTTTCTTTTTTGTTTTGTTTGCTTAATTTCTTTTATACATCGTTCTAGCTTTATTATAGTGTTTGAATAGAACATGTGGCAACGATTAGATAATTCTTTAAATGATATAAATTTTGTGCATTCTGAGTTATAATATGAACGAAATATAATACAGTTAAGTGAGCCTAGCGCCAGAGTGTCGCTTGGGTAAACAAATACTAGAGTGAATTTTAAAGAATGCATTTATTCTATTATGGTTTATGCGCTGTCGGCGAAGTAGATTTAATTCAATCCAATAAGTTTAAATGAAATGCAAGAAAAAATGCGTATTATTTAATATTCCGTACAAGGAAGTCATGTGGTGTATACATCAGATGTTTTGCGTTTTATGTTGGAAACGATACTGTTCCTTCAGTATTTGATTTAAATATTCGCAATGAGAGTGAATCTGTTCATTGAGTTAAAATTTCCATCAATTGTGTAAAGATTAGTGCAATGTACTCTAAAGTTCACCCCTTATGATACTGAGCATCCAATAAACGAGACCTTATCGTAGCCACAAAGATTCATATTAAATGCAAAATGCTGAATTAAATTAAAAAATTTCTGACCTTTAAATCATAAAAGCATAGTTACTGTTTGCATAAACGCAGCTTGAATGATGAGCTGTTATAGCCTTCTAAGCCATATCACAGAAACTGAATAATAAAATAGCAATTGATCTTCAGTGACATTTACAGAGACAACAGCAATATCCCTTCGGTAAGCTCTGGAGTCAGTAAAGATTCGCTGGGATTTATACTAATCTCTTAGCATTTGAAGACGACAAGAAATTTGTGCAGCGTGTCGTTAGAATAATAAATAAGATGTACAGAGAAACACGCAGCATTCCAAAATGCTATTCTTATCTGCGAAATCTTTAATTACGTAAAGGAGAATTTAAATTTCTTTCTGCGTCACCAAAAAAATTACAGGAGTAATATATAATTACATTCCGATTCTCTTTGCTATACTGATTTCATATATGTTATCGGAA